CTATAAAGAGTGATTTCTACATTTAGAAGGTATCAAGAACTAGTGATTGATTCCTCTTTCCTCACCCCGAAGCCACCGCTCTTCAAGTTGATACTCCTCTTCTTTGGTGGCCTCCCAAATGGATCATCGACTCGGCTGTCAAAAGATCACCTTAACCCAATCTAAGAGAGAATCCATGTGCTCCTCACCGTGCTCAGCATCAAGCTTTGCCTTCGAACTCTCGGAGAGGTACTCTTAACCCCTCTTCTACTTCTTCTTTTCCCTTACCCCCCCTTGACGTGCCTAGCTTGCATTCCAAACTTAATTCTATTGCCGCTTCTTTGTCTTCTTCAAACCTTGGACATGATTTTGTAAGGGGCTATTACTTTCATGTTAGGCAATTACATGATTTACATGTTCATAGGGGAGATATTGAGCCTTACTTGAACTACCCTTATCTTCCAGTCCAACAAGGACCAATTCCTCAATGGGTGCCTTATAACCCAACCCTTGGACCTTCTCTTTGTTACCCATATTGGGATGGACCACATGTTCCCCCTTATTGTATAGTTGGGACCACTCCGACTTCCTATGACTATAAGAGGCCCGAGGTTTGTGATTTTGCTTATGACCCTAGTAACCCTATGCCCTTTCCTACTCCCAAGACTTTTGGGAGTTGGGGACTCTCGGGTGAGCCTATTTTGGATGATTGGTCCTACTACTTTGCCGAAGAGAAGGCACGGAAGGAAGGTAGAGCAAAAGGGAAAGGGCCTATGGAAGCTAGGGAAATTGTAAGTTCTAATCTTGTGGTGTCGGGTACCAGTGAGGAGAGTACGCATTCTACCCCTTACCATAGTGCTGAGTGATCTTCGTGTAGCTACCCCTCTTTTGCCTTGCTTGTGTTTTCATGTTATTGCTTCTCTTGCCTACTTGTTGTTATGGTTTGAGCGTCGGGGGTGGGGGGTAAACTTATTCTAAGCTTGGAGGAATACTTTCTTTCATTCCCCTTTGCTTTTGATGTATCACTTCGGCAATTGGTTTTGAGCTTTTATTGGTTTGTTGATTGGTTTCTCTACTATCTCTATTGATGATTGTTTGTTTGGATGACTTTTGATTGTTCGCTTGTGGTTTTATCCCATTGATTCCTTTACTACTTTTCTCTCTTGATTCCTCATTTCTCTTTAGTGTATAGTTTAGATCCTTTGTTTTTATTTTGAAGTTACTAACGAGTGTCTTTTGTATAGTTTGTTTTCCTCTCTTTTTCTAGTCTTATCTTGTAGATCGAGCTTTGCTTCTTGAGGAAACGTGGAGGTGTAAGCTTCTTTTACTTCTTTTCTTAGCTTAGCTTGGATTGCTCGGTGAGATCTTTCTATTTTCCCTTCTTTTATTTTCTTTCTTGTTTGCATGGTTTAGGTTTAGATTAGGATGAGTTGAACGATTTGAGGATGTTTTCTTTCAACACCTTGAGAGTGTTTGGGGCCATTGGCGTTGTAGTCGAAAGGCCACTTGTTTGATGATTAGGATGTATATGATTTTGCATGCACCTTTGAACTCTCTCTTCCTTTTATTTTCCTTTTGTTTTCTTTTCTTTCAATATAATTATCCAAAAAGATTTTTGTTTGAGGCAAAGTTATGTGTTTCTTGTTATAATTGTTTTTGCTTTGGACATAATACAATTTGGACTTGTATATTTGAATGTATGTCTTCTTGAATGATAATGCTTTGAACGTTTTGAGAGTATGCTCGGTTGATTTTAGGATAGTATATGCTAAGGTAGTGTGTTTAGAAATTTTGAGACCTTGAAGCCCTAGTCTACTTTGCTAGTGGTAAGAAGGTGTTGCTTCCTATAGTGGATTTGAAGCTAATAGTGAGTTTTTGCTACAACCATGTGAGGTTTCACTTTTCTAGCCTTCTACCTACTTTGTATGAGTGGCACATGGATCCTTGGCTGCCGTTTTATTTATCTAGAACTTGACTTTTATCTTTCGAGATCGCGACCGAACCATTTAGGAATGTTAAAGGCATCTTTTCGGGATTGTTATTTTTCTTTTTAAAGGTTTCGTTCTTATATTTTTAGTTTTTGGGTTTACATTTGCCTTCTTGCTAACCATTTGAGCTTTATACCTTCTTTTCTAGCCATATCTCTAGCTCTCTAGCCATTTATTTATTTTTGTTTCCATTTTTGGTTTTTATGAAGCTTATAATTTTGGTCCTTAGTTTGTTGGTGCTTATTGGAGTTAAAATATGGATATTTAGTTCATTTGATGAACAAGTTTGTGTTGTATACGGTGTGTGAATAATAGCAAATGCATAGTGAAAAAGTCGTCCATAGTTAAAAGAGGCGAGGACAATGCAATAAAGAAAAAAGAAACCAAAAGCAAATGCTTTGAAAAGAATAAAAAAAAAATAAGAGGAAAATGAAAAGCACAAAAATATATTGTTGTAGGTGTGTTGTCCATAGTTTACAGCATTGAGGACAATGCTACATTTAAGCTTGGGGGGAAGCGTGTCTACGATTTTTGTATCTATGTTTGTGATTTGGCTTTGAATAAGCTTAGGGGTGTTGGTGTTTTTGTTTGGTGATAACTTGATTTTGGTACTAAGAATTGGCCATTCTTTGCTTCTCAAATTAGGTATACCACCAAATTTTAAATTTTAGCCTACCTTTCCCCTTTTTGCCCATACGTTACAACCCATTAAAGACCTTTTGACCCTTTTGGTTGAGTCACAAGTCGGTGGAGGGAGATGGGAGTCAAGCTTATAGAGCGGTTTGCATAGTCAAGATGTCGAGTAGCCCTAATATCTCTTCTTTTCCATTTCCTTCGAGGAATCATTGAGATGCTCACTAGAGGCAGATTCGAAACTAGTAGGGAGAACGCGGTAAGATTGTTTGGGGTGAAGGTGAATTGTGTTTCATTAGTTCTCTACGCTTAGCATATTTTATGTATCAATCAACCTTGGATATATTGGAACGTGCATTTCCTTATTTGTTTAGGAAGTTTTGCATTCATTTGTGCTTGGTCATTTGCAAAAAGTCCATTTCATTAGCATGCGTTTTCCCTTTTGCTTCTGTCTCATTTTATTTTCATGCTTTGCCTCGTTTTGCTTTGGGAGTTATGGGTTAAGCTCTTCAGGAAACCCTTACAAGACCTCACTTGTCCTCATTGGCGACTTTGGGGTTTTAAGGGCTTGTTGTAGCTAAAAAAAACCGTGATTCCTACGTTAGTGAGTTAGTGTATATTGTCATCCCCTTTTCTCTCTTTTCTTTATTTGAATAAGCCATTCATCTTTCCTTACTTGCTTTTGTTTTTCTCGAGGATGAGCAAAAGTTTAGCTTGGGGGAATTTGATGAGTGTCATTTATGGCACTCAAATGGCGATATTTTGAGATGTTTTTGATCTCTTTTATAGCTTTCTTTCTTTCTTTCTTTTCTCTCAGTTTTTACCTTTTACTCTCTAGTTTATCTCTTTCTTGCTTATTTTACCTTTTCTTTTCTTTGTTTGTAGGTGTAAGGTGAAGTCCGATTAACAATAAATTTTGTCGTTAATGGGTACACTTTTCACATTAATTTTTGTTTTTTTTTTTTTTTTTTTTTTTGGTGTTTAGAGAGCCACAAGAGCAAGTGATGAGAATTAATCCCATGATTACTTGGAACCGGGAGGAGAGCTCTAACCACTTGAGCTATCCCTCACTCTCTACACTTTTCACATTATAACAATAAACTAAAGCGTTTGTCGTAATTTATCCCATTAAAAATATAAAAAAGGGAATAGTTGGTCGTAACTTACTCTTGTAAATACTTACTATTATTACTTATATGTTTAGTAAACAAAATTATATTTATCTACACTCAGAAACAATATATAAGGATTATCTAAGAGTATTGTATAAACTAAACAACCTACAACACACCATTACAACACTAAGCTACTTATACAGTCAGTCTATTAATTGAATTAGCCTAAGCACACTTCACAAAATTTTTTTCTTATTATCTCTTTAAATAAAGTAATTTCATAAAAAAAAAAAATGATGCTTACATATTTTTTTTTTTTTTTTTTTGGTAGGTTGCGCGGTTATGCGAGAATGATAAGAGTATCAATGGAGAATTTGCTTTCTTTATCACGTGGGCCAACACAATATGTTAGATCCTTTTCTGGCTATATTAGCAATGGATATAGGTTTCGCATTGAAAGTCGTGATAAGTCTTTGAGAACACAAAATAGTGGAGTGGTTGTAATTGGTAACACGGGGAATGAAGATGAGTACATGGATTACTATGGAATAGTAACAGATATAATAGAGATCCAATACCTTTGGGCGTAATCGAGTCGTGCTATTTCGCTGTAAATGGTGGGATGTATATGATAATGTAAGAGGAGTTAAAGTCGATGAATATGGTATAGTTAGTATAAATTGCAATCGGCAATTAAAAATTAATGAACCATTTATCTTAGCTAGTCAAGCAAGACAAGCATTTTATGCCATCGATAATGTTAATAAAGGTTGGATTCTTGTGTCAAAAACTCAGCGACGTAGCTTTAGTGAAACATAAGACGATGAAAATGAAAGTAGCGACGAAGGTAATGCGTATCAACAAGACGAATTATTTAAACCTACATATGTGGCATCCTCCTCTTCAACTGCATGCTCGGAAATTTGCAAAAGCAGGTAGGGTGTAGATCCAATTATGGTAACGGGTAATGATGATGAAAGTGGGGAGCAAGGATCCATGAATAGGAGAAGAACAGAATAGTGCATTTCATAAAAAAATTTATTTGATTTTATAGAGAAGAACAGAATAGTGCATTTACTAAAATGTTCTTAGTATTATTGAATAAAAAGAAAATATTCTATTATTTCTGTACTTTTTTAATGCTAAGTATACTGTAGTTTGAGTCCATATGAGCGCATAGCAGCTATGGGCATACCAAGTGTATAGGAGGGCATAAGCGTCATTTACCATGCATTAAAATAAAAAAGTGGAGTGGAAGGCTGACTGTGTTTTGGCACCTTTAAAGCTTATTCTCTCTCCTCCGTTTCTTGTTTTCTCTCGACTATCTCTCCTCCCTCAAGGTCCTGTACTCTGTTCCAACGAAGACGCTAGGGCGGTGGTGCTCGCCGGAGCAAGAGCAGAAGTTTATTGCGGTGTAGTTGGTGCGTAAATTGTAGGTAGCTGCTACTAGATTCGTTGTTTAATTGAAGGTATGGGCGCAAAACACTTCACGAATTATGAATTTATGTGTAAATATTGTATTTGTGACATTTTTTTGTTGTTATGAAGTATTAGTTTATGTTATCTAGGGTTTTCCAGTGAGTTTAGCGATTTAGGGTTTCCTGTGTTGTTCATTTGTTTAGTTGGGAAAATTTTAGTGGGCGTGGTTCTAAAACCCTTAATTGGAATGAATTTGTTGTTATGATGTTTTTCTTTATGTGATTGGCGGTTATCCAGTGAAATTAGCGAATTAGGGTTTCCTTTGTTGTTCATCTTTATAATTGGAATTAATTTGAGATTGTGAAACCCGTAATTGGAATGAATTTGTTGTTATGATGATTTATATTATGTAATGCTTTGCTATCCACTGAAATATGCGACCCTTTGTTGTTTAATTTAATTTGAATCCATGTAAATGAGTGATTAATTGTGAGTTTTTTGTGGTGAAAGACGTATTGAATTATGAATAATTGATACTGTTACATTAAGAAATTATGACTGTTGTGGTATGTATATGTTAATATAGTGGAGAAATTATATGTGAAGAGTTATGGGTTTCTTGAAATGGTTTTATGTAGGTGGGAAATCCCATTTATCGAGCGTACATTTGAACTTGGTAGGAGGAAATAATGCCGAGGAAGAGCAAGGGATCAAGATTGGTGAGTTATTGTTTGTTGAAATTAAAAGATTGTGTGTTTTCTTAGTGATGGTTGTGTGTTGTAGTTGATTTTTGGTGGCAAATACTTGTGTTTATGTAGGCGCGGGCAAAATTCATGAATAAGAAGGCGCCTAAAAATAAAGTAGCTTGTAAAGGGAAGAAGAAACTGAAATCTGATCCAGTTTTTCAGGTAAAGTATTTAAAGGACTCTGATGAAGCTGGTTTCGATGATGGTGATTATGATGAATCTAGTGGTGATGAATCTGGTTCTGATGATGTTGATTCCACAGCTGGTGATTATGAGGTAGATGAGGATGCGGAGTACCACAGTGTAGGTAGTGAGGAAGAACCAGAACAGGACAAAGTGAGTTACTAAGAGCTCCTAAGCAAGTTATTGCGGGAAAAGGTTGAGAAAGGGAAGCGCAAGCGAGGTCATATTGAGAAAAGGACAGGAAAAAGGGGCAAGCTAAAGGTATGTCATGTTAGATGGAAATGATAAAAGATTATTTGTTGTGTAATACTTGGATGGAGAAATGAAATGTGTAATGTCATGTGTAGGTCGAGAAGACGAAGGGAGAGGTGGTGAAGGAGAAAGGGGTTTTCGTTAAAACCCAATCAAGAAGTACGCAGAAGGTACTCTCTGAACATTATTTGGTATCCATGACATGGAAATGTTTGTTGGGATTTATGTGGTTGGGCCTTGTTTAGGTAGTTGGAAAAATGAACTGAATTACTAAAGATTTATTGTAAATTGTACTTGAGTTGTAAGTTAAGTATGAATATTGTGAGTCCTTAATTGGATGTGCAAGATTAAAATCCCTTATAGAATATTCACAAGTAATTTTAATGGGATTGTATAATTATTGTCTCTTTAGTTGGTATATATGGAAGGGTAGTTGCTGTAATTTGTTGTAATTTAGTTGGAAATGTAAAAAATTGAGGTAACCTAGAAAGGAATTAGTTAGAATTGAAGAATTTGAGTAACCTAGAAGGAATTTAATCGGTTAGTGGTTTTATTTTGTGAGGCTTGGGTCGGTGTCATTTGATTGAAGTTTGTCTTGTTTGAATGTAATGTTGTAGGCCCCAAATTTGCATGGTGTGAAGGCTTTTGCAACCGCATTGAAGAATTTTGATGACTCTAGGAAGAAGCTGGTCATAGAAATGGGTTTTTGAGGGTTGTTAAGTATACCCCTAACTTTTGTACCCCGAAAGTTTGTGTACTGGTTGTTGACAAGGGTGATTGGTGATGGTTCGTTAACTTTTGGAGATGAGTGTGTGCTTCCTTTGAGTCCTGTTTAGGTCGAGTACGTACTTGGGATTGCCATGGGGTCGAAGGCATTGCCTTGTACGATTCCTAAGGATAAGCAGGAAGAGCACAGTAGAATTTTGGAAAAGTTTGGGAAAAATGATAGCATTTCATTAGCAGCTGCTTTGGGGGCACTAATTCGAAAGGATGAGGAAGGTAATGTGTTGCCGCTGTCGGGATGACGAGAAGGCTGATTTCAAGATAGCCTTTCTCATAGCAGCTCAGGGCTATTTATTATGTGCTACGGAAAATACAAGCTATCTTGGGTTGAAGCTTGTTCTGTCATTATTTGTTTACGATGAAGCTGATGAGTATGATTGGTGCACTTATGTATTTAACTGGATGATTGTAGCAGCTAAGAGTTACCAAAAGAAATTTGCTCATGATGGATATGTTGTAGGTTTGGGGGGTTGTATCCTTTTTTAGTTGGTGAGTAAAATTGGGTATTTACCATCGTACACCAAAAGCTTTTTGAGTAATTTTATTAAATTGTGCAGTGTTATCGTTTGTAATGGTTAGTTCAACTAAATCATCCATCCTGTCCTTTTATTGTAGATTTTTTATCTAGATCACCTAAGTCGCGTCCTAATGAGGTGAAGTGTGAGACCGAGACATGAGGCGTTGTCCGAAGAAAAGATCAATGAGACGGTTGGCGATGATAAAAAAGAATTTGGGGATTTCGGAAAATTGCCAGTTAGTATTAGTTCGACTTTAATTTGATGTGAATACTGCTGAAGCTGTTGTGTTTGATTCTTTTGAAGTCTCTAGATATAGCATATGGGGAGGAGCATCCGTTGACTCCTCGGGTGGTTCCAAAGCAAAGGGTGGAAAGAGTTGACGTGCAACAGACTACGCAGGAGGTAGACGTGGAAAATATTACGCGGCAGGTATAATACAAGTCAATGATAGTTTTAGATGTAGCTTTGTATTTTATAAAATAAGTGATATGTCCTATACCAGCTGTTAATAGTTTGTATTTATGTTTTCCTGAAGGTGTTGGATAGAATTACTCTAAAGTTGATGTCTGTGATTGACTTGAAATTAGGTGACGTTATGAAATTAGTGCATTAGTTGATGTCATAGTGTGTTGACGTAGCTAATGCCCAGAGAGTGATTAGGGGGAAGCCAATGAAGAGGGAAGTTGTTGTGCATGAAGATCATCCTTTGGGCAGTTGTTTGTTAGAGAAGGAACAACTGAAAAGAAGGTGGGAAAGGACTTGGTGGGGAAGAAATTAGGCATGCTGATGTAGTTTCAAGTGAAGATGACCTGGACCGTGTGGTACAAAAGATTTCGGTTGATCCACTATTTGCAGAGGCTGGGGGTGATGTCAAGGTGGTTGGGGATGAATCCAAGGTGAATGGGGTTGATAAAGGTGTTGTCTTAGAGTTCCATGGCTGTTGTTCTGATTCTGAAGTGGAAGATGAAAATGTGGTGCCTAGACCTGAAATAGTTGTGGGCTTGGTTGGGACGAGGGGAACTACTGTGTTGGTTGATGCTCAGTGCAGTTTAGCAAATTCATCTTCATCTGATGAGGAAGATGAGTCCACTGGGAAGGGGGGCAGAACTGCGGATAAGAGGGTGGTGAAACCTACAGAGGCAGTCTTGTCAACCATGTACACCAATGTGCAAACACCCGACGCCATACAACGGTCGAGGCACGTCTGCTGCAGTTTGTAAAGCGCTGGAAGGACCTGAAGGATCTACTTAGGTAATTCAGAAACATGTAATTGAGTGAAAAGTCTATTTTGTGCATGCCTTTTGTAAATTTTTGGTTTTAATTGTAAATTCTAATATGTTTATGTGTATACTTGGTGTTATGTTGTTGCTTCACTTCATAGCCCTGGTATTGTGCTGATAAAGTGTGACCACATGGAAGCTAACCAAAGGGATTGCTATGAAGTGGTGCACCATAAATCGCGGGTTTCTAGTGATTATGTTAGAATGGCAAGTGTGCTATACACTAAGAAATGGACCACCAAAGACTTCTTGAACAGAAGCAAGCGTATTTTGCTTGACCCAAGCTATTCGGTAAGTGGTTTGTGGTTCATTTCAGCTTTGGGGTGTAATATTTACGTGCACAAATGATGATTATGGTTGTTGTTTTTTTTGTTTGGATCGTAGAATCGACTGTTGTTGAACGAAGGAAAAGAAGAACAAATTTGTAACAAGTATGCCAAATTTCTCGATAGCTTTAAGCTGTCGCATATTCGAGCGGTCAGCTACTTACTCTCATAGTTCAATACTCTAGGTTTAAAGGTGTTTCATGTATATACTCGAAATTGTGCTCATGGCATTGACATTGTCATTTTATCAAGTCTTTGTCCCAGTGCTCGAAGTTCCTAAGGATTCCCCTGACGAGTCGCACTGGTGGTGCTTAGCATTAGACATGAAGGCTCGACGGTTGTGGATGATAGATTCTATGTACCTTGACCCATTCACCACACATGCCAAAGAGTTTGATCTTCTGGTACTAATACTAATGCCTTTCATTCTAAACAAACATGGTATTTACTGGGACCCATTTGGTTATGTTTAATGTGTTTCTCAAATTACAGGTTAGTGGTATCGACGTCCTTTTTCGACTCTGTGACCCAGCATGGAAGACTTGTCAGCTACATTCTTGGACGAGATACACTGTTAAGATCTTAGAGCCAAAGGATAAGTAAGCACTTGTTTCCTTATTTGCTTACTGTGCCAATAACTTCTAGCCTAGCTTTAATATCAAAAGAACGTATGTTCAACTTTTATGTTGATTGTCGTCCTCCAATGTGAAGCTCTTACTGTGATGTTCTTATGCTGGCGTGTGTTAAGTTCTTTGCCAGAAGATTCACCACGAGGTTTAGTGTGGTAAGTGGTGTATATAACTATGCTTTGTGTTAAGATATCTGAAGTGGTTGGCTACAGTGTTTGTTCATACATTTACAGGGGAAGATTCCTAATGCTCGGGCAAATTTATTCTTGGACGACGTGTAGTGTGAAATGAACGAATTGAAATATAGTCTTGGGGATTTGATTCCAGGTTATAGGAAAACAACGCGAAAACTGTGATGTGTTATGTTAGTAGCCTGGGCGATGGTGTAATTATTTTCTAGGGTTGAACTGTGGTGGCTCTAAGTACTGTGTATTGAACATTTAAACACTTCCTAGAAAACGTACTCCTCGCTGAGGTGGTCTGTCCACTCAAGGGTAACTATTAGAGGTTGCTTTGGTTGTGGAGGTGGTCTGTTCACTCATGGCTAAGTGTTTGATGTGATGTCTGCATAAGGTAATTTGTTGCATTTTGTAGATTATGTAGCAACTGTACCTTAATTACTTTTTGCAATCTACATGAACAGGGTAATTTAAACTCAATGTACATTGCTATAGGTACATTGCAAGTGCCACTGGTGGAATGTAAATGATATTCTTACAATTTAGCTCGCGATGGTATAGTACAAGTGCCATTTGTGTTTGCAATGGTACATTAAAATGGTGTTGTTTGTACCATTGCTCCGTCAATGTATTCATGAATTAGGATAGAAGTGCAATTCAGTAAAATAACAACAACGAAATTGAACATTACAATCCATAATTCATAGAATAATGCTAAGGAACGCAAACAAAACATGGAACGTAATCCAACCACTGTTTACAGTTCACCCTTCTTGAGATGCCAAGTTTTGGACTGGTTGCCCCTTATGAACGGGTCAGTATTCTCCCAGCACTAGTTTTCTACTACTTTGAACGTATTAAAAGTATTAAACGTACCCCTTTTATTGCAGTTGCATATTGACTTCATGTACACAACATAGGAACGTAGTATGTACACACGATGCATAGGAAAGGGTCATTATTCATTTACACAACATAGGTACGTAGTATGTACACAGCATAGGTACGTACCACTATGGTTAAATGTACCAACGTGATTTCAGTGGTGGATTTTCGGAGAATTAAATGTACCACTAACACAGTTAAGTGGAATATTCAAGGTTCCCCCTATTCGTAATAACTTCAGAGCTAATACATGCATTAAACAGTCAAGGCATAATCAAACATAGTGAATGCATAATCAAACATAGTCTTAGGCATACAGAAAAATAGTGTAAGGGAAAGGCAAATAAAACTACAGTACTAATTAAACAAAGACACATAGCATTGAGTAGTATTTGATCCCTAGCATCTTCATCATAGGTATTTTCCAAATCCCTAGTGGTGGATGAAGCCATCAATAGCCATCAAGGTACGGATCATTGTTCAATTCAACTTGTTGTGGAGGCCATGATGGTGGAGGTGGAGCCTGTAATTGCAAACAACATTTATTTAGCTAAATAACTTACATTCCAAACAATAATATAAACAAACAAATTACCTGGAAAACAGCATCAACAAGCAACCCAATTGGCTGACTTGATCTATGCAAGAAAATGGCCCTTAGCATATTTGGTTTCCAAAACATCATAACTCCACCGAGGTTATGAACGACGCAATTGCTCGCGCCATGTTTACCAATACGAGCTTCCAATATGATGACCAACATGGGGTTAAATTTTTCGTGTAAGGCTTTGAAATTCTCGGCAAAGGAGGGCCTTGTGCACCCTCGGGGGTTCCAAAATAGAATGAGCAACCCCCAATTGACTACGCCATACTCTTCGGGTGAGAAAATATGCACTCCTTTATAGCTAACACGGTGGTAGCGTTTACGAATGGGCTAACGATGGTTAAGCCTCGGAATAAAGGTACAACCTTCAACTTGAAACCTCAGGTAGGTGTTAGTAGTATCGACCGTCATAAGGTGGAGGGTATCCGTGAATGAGCCAACAAATATGTGGCGCCAAAGCGTGGGGAAACTGTAACCAACTATGGAGTCGGTGTTAAGATTGGGCTTCAAGTCAATTGCTTCCTCTATCTCAGGTGGTAATGTAAGCGGGGACGACGAGGAATAGAACCTCTCTATGAGCCAATACAACATGACACAAGCTCCCTCATCGTAGCAACCCACCAAGTCCTCTAAAAGAGGAAGGTGTCCCGAAGTCGGCCTGTCATCTTGTAATTGCATGCAATCAGTTTAGCAGCACATTGATTGGAGAAGATGTGCTCTAATGGATTGCACAGGCTAGTATATCCCATTGTAAAGGTTGTAGGTGTTTCTAAAATACTTCACTAAATTCAGGTTTATTTCAGACACCCCCCTTAGGTCTTTTTGAAAGTATAATATTGGTTGATCTGGGTGGGGTAACATTTGATGACCTAAGCTAGAGTGTTTGACAACGGTATTTTGGGGCCATTTGAGTACCTTGTAACCGGGGAAGGGAATGGAGATGAGTTGAAATGAGAAATGGAAGGCAATGGATGGAGAGTATGGTTGGAAACTTACTTTTGTTGTAATGAAATGCTTTGAAACTTTTTTAACCTGGTGCATGAGTTCCCCAAGGAGTTGTCTTGTCAAATGAAGCACAAAGTCTGGGAAATGGTACAAGATAATTACTGGGTGGTACATTTGACTTTTGTATTTGCTTGAATTAAATGTACCATTGTATTAATTGTTTTAATTTTTACCTTCAGTTACGGTGGTGAATGTTGAATGTTCACCCTGTTGCAGTTTACATGGCGTAGGTCCAGTACTATGGCTTAGAGCTGTCATTTCAAAAGAAACACTCATTCATTCTAGTGGAACATTTTACAGTAACAAACATACGGGCACACTTAATGTAAAGATTTAGTGGTACAGTTTTTATACCACTAGACGTAACGGAACTAACACAAAGGAGTTTGCATGACAAAAATTAGTAAGAACTAATGCATTTCTTAGATTATATAAAGGGTGACTCTTAGTAGGAGTTGGTGATGATGTGGAATAGGAGAGCATGAGAAAGAATAAGAACCCATTTAAGTTGCTTCTCACTATTGATGCTCTAATGTATACTTAACTTACAAGGACAAACATAAAATCACACAAAGTTGTCTAAAAATAAGTTCGAACAGCTGGCAATGGTACACTTATCGTTCACAAAATGTACCATTATGGTCTAACATATTGAAATGATGGGTGACGAAAATGGCAGTTCCCCAGAAGCAGTTCCCCAAGGAGTTGTCTTGTCAAAAGAAGCACAAAATTTGGCTAATGGTACAAGATAGTCACTGGTGGTACGTGTGACTTTGTATTTGGTTCAATTACATGTACCACTGTATGTATTGTTTTAATTTTTACCTTCAGTTATGGTGGTGAATGTTGAATGTTCACCGTGTTGCAGTCTACGTGGCCTAAGTCCAGTACTATGGCATAGAGATGTCGTTTCAAAAGAAACACATATTCGTTCTAGTGGGACAATTTATAGTCACAAATATACAAGAACACTTAACGTAATGGTACACTTTTTGTACCACTATAAGTAACGGAACTAACACAAAGTAGTTGGGAGTGAACTTAATGCATGCTCATAGTTGTGAGTATAAAAAGGGGGGCAAGTATTAGCTCGTGACTGGTTTCCTTTCCTTGGAGTAACAGAAATTGCCAAAAAAAAAGGGTAGCCAAAGGAATAAGAGAGTGGTGGCTGATAAGGGAGTGGTCGTTGATAAGAGCCCAGGCCGCCTTATGAAGCTGTTAGAATTCATGAAAAAATGGTTATCACAACGCAAATGGTGTTGTTCGAGACTTTTACTTCCCCAAAAGAGGTAAAGAAATGATATTCGCCCACCAGTCAGCCACAATTGCTCGTGGAGGGCTTGAAA